GGACGTCCTAAGGAAAAGTAAAACATGCTGGGATCAAATCAGAAACTGTGATGGCTTCTCTAAATCAGGGACGTCCCTGGAAAATAGGGACACTTGGAGGGTCTGATATATCACTTTTTTATTGAAAGCAGAATCAAGTTTCCAACTTGGCAGCAACATAACAGTTTATAAGGTTTGGCCATGATCATTTAATAGCTCATCTGCTCATGCGTTAAATGCAAAGCTAAACATTCAGTGGCCTTAAAAAAAACAGCTAGTAATTCTGAAAGGTCACAACCAAGCAATACCCATTATTAGGAACTAAATAATCCAAGACAAAGATGGAGAAGCAATATACACCTTTCAGTCACCCATACCATGTCAGAGGGAGGGACAAAAGTGGATACTACTCTTGTGGACTACTGAATTGAACACCCAGATGGCTAGAATGAAGGTGGACCCTGAGCCCATTGTGCTCTGCTCTGTTTAGGCAGCTAATTGTGTGAAATTGTTGTCGGGAATGCAATTAGAGGGCAGTGCATGTTCCTTGGCAGGCCTCAACCAAATGGAAGGCCTTAATTGGTAATTTAATTGCTTCCTAGCAGGTGAAGTTTTCCTCTCCTCTGGGGCTGGCATTGTGTATAGCAACCCCTCTAAATAATCAAAGCAGAGCCCGTTCTTGTTAGCACTGAAAGGAAGAGAAAGTGCTTAATTGTATTTTCCTTTTACACTGTGTACACATCAGGATGTTAATATGCACATGGGGTGCACAGATTTAAGAATTTGTGGGGAATAATTTGGACACAGCATTTTCCTTTTCCTTTTTCCTTTTATCCTGTACCTGCAAGGGGCAATTTGATTTTGGTTTTTAATACTGCTGTCTTGTGCAAAAGCAGTTACTGCAGATGTGCATTCAGCAGCAACTGGTAGAGACGGGCAGACTGCATCCTTTCCTTGGAACTGATGGCTAGCTTGTGTTCTGGCAATGAGCAGGTGGAAGTAAGGGTTTCAGTGTCTCCACACTTGGTTAACGTGTGATTCTATGTTGGATTTTTCCCTCTTACAGCGTCATCTGCAGATCAGGATAACCAAAATTAAATGGGGGGGGGGGAGTGTGGGCTGCCACTTGGATTAGGATGGACAGTGTGGAAAAACTTGCACACATGGGATGCATCAAATCAACTTTGAACTATGTGCGCACACAATTTTTCCAGTTCCTTAAGATTGTTTGAAAACAGTTGTAAGAAGCTTCAGATCTACTATCAGAGCAAACATTGTAAACTTTGAAAAACACTGTAAAGTAAATCAGTCTTATTCTCATCACCAGAAGGGGTTGAGCGATAGTGGTTTAATTAAGGTCAAGAGAGACGGACAAGACCTGATCTGAGAGACAATAATATCTGGACTGTGCTTTGACCATGTCTAGTGAGAGTGACTTGTAGTGGGGGCAGACCCTATAATTTACTGCTGAATTCCCTGCACTTTTGCAATCTGGTAACATGCTTGTTAGGGACGCGGGTTGTTGTTAGGGACGCGGGTGGCGCTGTGGGTAAAAGCCTCAGCGCCTAGGGCTTGCTGATCGAAAGGTCGGCGGTTCGAATCCCCGCGGCGGGGTGCGCTCCTGTTGTTCGGTCCCAGCGTCTGCCAACCTAGCAGTTCGAAAGCACCCCCGGGTGCAAGTAGATAAATAGGGACCGCTTACTAGCGGGAAGGTAAACGGCGTTCCGTGTGCTGCGCTGGCTCGCCAGAGCAGCGATGTCACGCTGGCCACGTGACCTGGAAGTGTCTCCGGACAGCGCTGGCCCCCGGCCTCTTGAGTGAGATGGGCGCACAACCCTAGAGTCTGTCAAGACTGGCCCGCACGGGCAGGGGTACCTTTACCTTTACCTTTAACATGCTTGTTCATCACCAAATGATCACAAGAAGCTCTCACAGATTTGGAACAGGAGTATCTAGGGAGGTCCTCCTGACACATACCCACACTCCTTTCTTTCTGTTAAATAAATTAAGTACTGCTGGCATCTACACCCCTTCAACCAATATTGCCAAGAGCAAACCTTTGGATCATGAGAAATTGCTCTTCCCTGCTGAGCTATACTCAACAACCAGCTTTGGAGAGGGCTTGATCTGAGCCAGAGGGACTTGCTAGGATTCAGGCTTGGAAGCTGCTTCCAGTTGACAGTATACAACCCTGAAAAATCCTACAAGTATTTAAAGAGTGCTTCTTTACATGTGAAAAGTACATTCCCCCCACCATTTAATAACCACCATCACTGTTCACACTTCTAGGATTGTAAAGAAGGACTTCCAGGGCAGAGGGCGCAATTTCCAGACACTCCTGATTCCTAGGCATGTTCTAGTTTTATAAGACAGGTTGGCACAGCAGGACAGCAAGTAAGACACTGTCTGGGCAGGAACAAACTCCCTACCACTATCAGCTGCCTAGCTTCTTTCATTCCCCCCACCCCAATCCAGTGCAGGGCATTCTTCCCATCCATCATCTGTCACTGCGAGTCGGATGTCCCCAGATCGATCAGCCATCCGTCCCTGCTGCCCTTTAACGAGATCTCTGTTCACGAGGGTCAGATATTTTGGTTTATCAGGAAGCCACAGCAGCGGCTGGCTGATAACAGGCTGCTGTTGAACACACAACTACACAATTCAGCTCCTCCAGGACAAAAAAAAAAAGCAAAGGGAGGGTTACAGAGAGGAACGGCAGGGTGTCTTAGGGTAAGGAGAGAGCCAGAGAAGCAGCTCCCATTTATTGCACAGGCCCCTGTCCATTCAGTGATCTTTTTGTGTAGGAGGAGACCTTTCTAGGGGATTAGGCTGAGAGCTGCCTCCCACTCTGCTGCCCCTAACGGTGCCTCATGAGAGGGCACCTCTTTATGATAGGAATAACTGAATAATAATCACAGTTTTGGCACAGTACAGAGTTTGTGATGGGCCAGAGGAGAAGAGAGAAGCAGCCTCTTTAAGGCAGGGGTTGCAAATGTCTACATTATTCTTCAGACAGTGGTCTGTGTATCAACCGTAATGTGATGTGATGCTTGTAGACATAAGCTAAGAGCTAGGAATCCATGGTTCTAATCTCAGTCAGAGATGACGCCACTGTGTGTCAGCAAGCCACTCTCTCACTGCCACCTTTTGGGCGCTAACACCGGACTGCCTTGCAAGAGTGTTCGCTCACCTCTGGACGACTCAGTTAAGGCATGTGAGGTGATATTATTATTTATGAAACTTCTTAGTCACTTGTTACCTAAAATGTCTCCAAGGGACTTACATTTAAAAGCAAAAATGCATTACAGTGGTACCTCAGAATTCGAACGGAATCCGTTCCGGAAGTCCGTTCGACTTCCAAAACGTTCAGAAACCAAAGCCTGGCTTCCGATTGGCTGCAGGAAGCTCCTGCAGCCAATCGGAAGCCGCGTCAGATGTTCAGGTTCCAAAGAACTTTTGTAAACTGGAACACTCACTTCTGGGTTTGCGGTGTTTGGTAGCCAAAATGTTCGATTCACAAGGTATGACTGTACATCATAGGGGATAAGAAAAAAATCATATAAAGCATTTAATGCTTTCATACCGCATACCCCAAACAGCCCCCCCCCCCTGCATAAGCTTCCAAGAGCAAAAGCAGAGGAGGAGACGGGCAACTGCGAAATAGATGGGCATGGCAGGGGGCAATGGCAAAGGGGACATCCAATCATGGAGGAGGAGGCAGGTGAGGAGGCAACTGCCTCCCCTCGCCTCTGCATAGAGGGCCTGTAGGGAAGGAGAAAGTCTATCAGATATTTTGGGCCTGAGTCATCAAGCAAGGAACGTGGCCATCCTAGAAAGGACACCAGCTATATCACAGTATCTGTAGCTCAGTGGCACAGTGTGTACCTCACATGCAGAAGGTTCCAGGTTTAATCCCCAGCATCTCAAGGTATGTTGGGGAATCTCTGCCTGGGGAGCTGCTGCCAGACAGTGCAATGATCTGACTCACCTATGGCAGCTTCCTATATTGTTCCAATGGAGCCTCGTGTAAACAGATTGGCAAAAGAGGAGATTGATCCCTTTGGGAGGGGGCCAGTGCCAACTGGTGAGAAATGTTGCCTCTGCTTCCTATGTTATTCCCGCTGAAGAAGACCCCAAGACATACTGAGGGTTTGGACTGTTCATCATCCAGCTAAGGGACCAAAAACCTACTCCTTGTAAGGGGAGGGGTGGATACCCATTCCCAAGAGGGAGTGCAGACAGCTCAACCTCTCCCAGCTCGTCCGAGGGGGAGTTTTTGCTTTGCTGGGCGGCGATCTTCTCCATTAGCTCCTCAATCTTGCGAAGATAATGCATTGCCGGCATGCGGCTGTGCGGTTCATTTGGGAAAAGAACTGGGGGGGGTGCGCGGGGGGGGAGAGAAGCTGAGAAATGAGGATGAAATGCTGGGTGCTTAGCCGAATGCAAATGAGGAGCAACAAGAGAGCATCAGACCCAGCTGTGGAGAAGCGGAAGAGCAAGACGAGTTTCCTCATCGTGAGGCCTGCAAAAAGAAGGCTGAGTGCGTGTGGAGGCAAAACCAGCGGGCTCAGCCCATAGCTGTCAAGTGTCCCTTATTTGAAGGGACAGTCCCAGCGCTATGTCCCGCTGCTGTCCCTTATTGATGGATGTCCCTTAAATTTCAAAGGAAGCAGCTCCTCTCCCTCCCTCCCTGCTGGCCAGGGAGGAGGGAGGCTCCAACTGTGTTGCTTGGCTGTGTTGCTCACCCAATAAGAAGTCTAAGAATGACTGGGGGGTGGAGCTTGCATGCCTTGTGTGTGGCTAGTTAATGCAAGCTGAGGGGTTTTTTGAATGCTGGACGCCATTTTGTTGCACGTGCTGCTGCAAACTTTGCAGTGCAAAGCCAGACCGGGGAGCCATCTTAAGTTGAGGCTGCATAGGCCTTGTGGTGCATGTGATTCAGATTCTATTCAGTTGAACCTCTGGTTACAAAGTTGGTTGGACAGTGTTCTCGAAGCTACCAGCATGAGTTTGACCAGACTGCAGGAGGGCAGGAAGACTGGAGTGCCTGGAACAGGTGAGGCTGCAGGTCCCTTATTTTGGCTGCTGGTCCCTTATTTTCAAGGCTGCTGGTCCCTTATTTTCAAGGCTGTAAGTTGACAGCTATGGCTCAGCCCCAAAGAGTCTACAAAACCCTCTCCCCTGTTGGCCATACCTTTTCAGATTTGTCTCGAGAGCCTTTTGCATTGCCAAATTCTGGGCTTCATCCTCTCACTGAAAAGCAGTTAAAAAGTATGGTATTGGGTAGCAGTGGTGACAGAGCAACAGATAGGGAGGTAGATTATTTACACTCAACTTTTCTTTACAATGCAATTGCAAATTATTTATTATTTATTATTTATTGCATTGCTACCCCCATCATTTTCTGCAAGGAGCTCAAGGTAGCGTACAGTGAGCCTCCACTTCTAATCCCCACAACCACCCTGTGAGGTAGGTTAGGCTGAGAGGCAGTGGCTGGCCCAAAGTGAGCTTTGTGACCAAGTGTGGATTTGAACTGGTCCTAGTCCAACACTCAAACCAGTATGTTAATCAAAGGTAGTCTGTCTCTGAACATGGAGGTTCTGTTCTTAGTTATCTGGACTAGCAGCCATTGACAGAGTTGTCTCCTATGAAATTATCTAATGCTTAAGGGGGGGGGAATCCATCTATGACAATGGCCACAACTTGTTTACAATGGCCATGTTGTTTACTGAATAGGCAAGTCTTCTATGCAAACAGCCATTTCTCTTTCCCAGACCCTTGTCCCTGAGCCCAGAACGGATGTCTAATTATAGCAAGCTGGGGGAGGTGCTTATTTTATTGTTCTGTCATTATCACCCCGTAACATCTGAAATGATGCTAACAGCGATTGGCATTAGAGGTTGATATTTCATGAGCTATCAGATCTCATGGATGCAGCTCAGACAGTTATATTAATAACAGAACCAAACAGCATTCTAATAAAATACTTCTTTCCCCACCTCCAAGTCCCAGTTACAATTTTGATGAATAGAGGATATATATGGTCAGGTTTGTGCCTGTAGAGTATATTATGCAAGTAGATAATAATTAGCATTAATTAGGAGAGGTGGGGGGAGGGAGAGAGAGAGAGAGAGAGAACAAAACTGCCATCATTATAGATAGATGGATGGACGAACACACAGATACACTCACAGTGTGAGAATAGACATATATGAGAATGGGCGGAAGGATGGCTAGAAAGAAGGAAAAGAAAGAACAGAAATAGAAATAAGGATGGGTGAATGACGAGCATGACAAATGGACAGATGTAGATAAGGATAAATGGAGGATCGAGAGATACGAAGGCAGAATGATGAGGAGCAGATAGCAGTAACATAAGGAAAAGAAGAACTAGGCAGATAGATAAGAGGGAGAGATAAAGCGGCTGTGAGATGGAATAGATAGAAGCGTAGGAAGAACAGGAATTAAGAAGAGAGAAGGAGAAGGAGGGACCACAAATCAGAATTAGTCACGCACAGATTCCTTTTATACATAAAGGGAAATGAAGAATGAATGGACAAAGATGATGGGTTGCCCACTGTGAGACTGTAAGATGAAGGGCAGGATAAAAGTATATACTAAGTAATTAAGTGGGTAGATAAGGGGAGGGGGAAATAGATAGCAGATTTCATGCGTATTTTGATGTACACACGACAAAAGGAAAAGAGGCAGGCTATGAATGGCAAGGAAGGATAGGAACTGAGGAAAGAAGGAAGGAACCTTTTCAGAAAATATGAGGAGAGGAAAAGATAGGCCGATAGATAGAGAATGAGATACGAATGAAAGTTAGCTAAGATTGGACGTCAGGCAGAGGCCCTGAGCTATCACCCAGCGATCTCCTCAACCTACGCCAATGTACAAAGAGCCTTTTAATTCCCTATTACCACACAACACACACAACTCCACTCCCACCCCCGTTCCTTTTCTGATTGTCATTTTTCTCCCTGTCAGTCGCAGGGCTGGCTGACCCTTGTCGGGAAAAGCCCTGACCCTTTGCCCCCCCCTCTCCTCAGAGGTCGCCGCCCGACCTCAGGACTCAAGGAAGAGGCCCAGGTGGAGCAGCTGCAGCACCTCAGGGGCTGGCAGTGGCGGCGCAGGGTCACTGGGGGTGGCACGCGGGGCTGTGTGAAATTTCCTCTTCCCTGTCCCTTTCGCGAGCCCAGCAGCTGGGGCTGCATTAGTTCCACTGCATGTGAGGAGAAAGGGCCTATTATAGATAGGAATGAAATAGTCTTCTAGATTCATGCCCCCTTGGGGTTGCCATGGAGACCAGGAGGCTCTCTCCGGGCTCCGCGAAAGGGACCGGGAAGGGGGATGAGAAGCTAACAATGAAGGCCTCTCTCCTCTTTGCCCTTTCCAGCACCTTCCAATGCACAATCCAAGCTAGAAGCATTGGTCAGCCTTTACTATCTGTTAGAAGCAGCAAAAGTCCCGGGCTGGGATTTGTATCCTGTCTTCTGATATTTGACAAAACTTGCCATATGACCGAGCGAGATACTTCCATGTGGTCCAGCAGCATGTACCATCATCGATCCCTAACTACACTATAGTGTCCTGAATTTGCAGCTGACCACTGACTTACCCCGGGATTAAACATTGGTGGTAGTCATTTGGTGTTACATCTCTAATTGTTTATAGCTTTTTTCGCCTGGGGGAAGGATTGAGAGAGAACGTTTGGGTGGCTTGGGGAGTAAAGCAGCTATATCACCACATCTGTCTTTCAGGGCAGAAATAGTTATTATCATTTAACTTGCTATTTCCCCCTTCTTACCTCATTCCAAACTGATCCTCACTAATGTCTTTGTGAGGTAAATTAAGATGAGATTAGGGCTGGGGAAGAAATTTGATTCAGGTCACATTTAAAGGTGAACTGATCGAATTAATATTTTCCAAAGCAATATGTAACCCGTCACACAGCTATCATTTGAAAGCTACACTTACCGTACCTAATTTTTCCAGTGCAGTTCTCCAGCCAAGTGATGGTTTGCAAAAATGCACATACTACGGTAAAGTGTGCATATAAATGCATATGTTAGTGAAAATAACATACAAAAATACATCCCGTTAGGGAATGTTCCTTTGCAGAAATCTGTATGTTAGGCAAAAATGCATATAAAAATGTATATACAGTGGTACCTTGGGTTACATACGCTTCAGGTTACATACGCTTCAGGTTACATATTCTTCAGGTTACATATGCTTCAGGTTACAGACTCCGCTAACCCAGAAATAATACCTCAGGTTAAGAACTTTGCTTCGGGATAAGTACAGAAATTGCACGGCGGCAGGGCGGCAGCAGCGGGAGGCCCCATTAGCTAAAGTGGTGCTTCAGGTTAAGAACAGTTTCAGGTTAAGAAATGACCTCCGGAACGAATTAAGTACGTAACCAGAGGTACCACTGTAGTAGAAGAAAGTCACGCAAAGATGTTCATGAATTTTCAGTAAAAATAATAATAATTGCAAACTGATGTAGAAAGTGATGTGGAGAGCTGAACTTAAAACTGGAAAAATGAGAAATGGACACATTCATCCACCCATCCCTAGCTGGGATATAACGGTTTCCTCAAGGACACCCAGAGACCATCATGGCTAAGTAAAATTTGAACCCAGGCCTCCCCAGTTCTAGCCCTGCATGCTATCCACTGCACTATAGTGGTTCTCAAATAGTTGGGGGGGGCTTTCAAATGTGGTACTTTTCTTTCCCAGTACAGTGGTACCTCGGGTTAAGAACTTAATTTGTTCTGGAGTTCCATTCTTAACCTGAAACTGTTCTTAACCTGAGACACCACTTTAGCTAATGGGGCCTCCTACTGCTACCTCGCGATTTCTGTTCTCATCCTGAAGCAAAGTTCTTAACCCGAGGTACTATTTCTGGGTTAGCGGAGTCTGTAACCTGAAGCGTCTGTAACCCAAAGTACCACTGTATATCCTTACTTTCCAACAGGTTGTGGTGGTGGTAAAGGAGAAAGGAACTGTGGTAGTTTACTCCCTGATAAAGGAAAATATGAAAATTTCAGACATGGATTGCTATGCTACTAAACTTTGTAAGGGATATGAATGCTTCAGTTTGAAAAGGTTGCTGTGAATGGGCCCCAGACGCAGAGGCGAAGTTAGCTGCTCTGGCACCAGAGCGGTGCACATGCTGTACACCCAGGTGCGGGGCTAGTCGCCTCGTAGGGGCGGGGCGAGCGTCCCAGGGGGCGGCGCGGCGATGTTACCCCTCCTCAGGGATGACACCCAGGGCACACCCACAGCACCCCCTTCCTCCGCCAGTGCCCAGACGTTGGCCATCTATCCATTTTTATCTCCCACGCCCAGTACTAATATTTCAGACCGTCTTTAGCCAGCCAAAATAGCATCAGTTTATAGGAAACTCCAGGTTCAGGTAAAAGTGGCAGAAACACAACAAGCAACCTCTTTCTGTAAGGCAAACTAGGGATTAAATACATTACATACCAGGAGAACAGTCTTCTTAAACTATCCTGATATCTGTTATTGTTGTGTCGTGTGTGTGCATCTCAACATTCTACACCAAGGTAACCCTGATTCTGAAACAAGAAAAGCTGGATTTTATTAACTGTGTCAATTATGCAAATTAAGCAAATCTGTTTAATTTATTTTGCAGGCTTACTATTCATCACAATTGATTCTGTTTTTGTGAATTTCAGGAAGACTAGATGCTATGCAAGACACTGTAGCACTGGAAATATTATTCATCAACTCCACTGGTTTATGGGATTTAATTTCACCAGGCATTGCCCATCCACATCCAAAGCTTATCACGACAGCCATAAGGACTAGAAAGTTGCTCAGTAAAATAAAATAAAATAAAAATTCTTAGGTCGCCGAATATTGTATACAAGACAACATTCTGTGGCTTGTTTGGGCTCTCACAGGATCACAGAATAAAGCTCTGCAGACCTCACATATGCAGCTGTTTTTCAGAGCATGGAATGGGGAATGTATCATTTCAGCCTGCAGGTGAGGGGCTGCATATCTGAATATTATAAAATAAAAAATATTGTCCCTGCAGGCTCATTCTTATTAAGGAAGTGAACTTGTGACTGGGCATCTGAAGGCTTACATAATCACATTCAAACAACAACAACGTAATAATTCAGTGCATATAAAGTAGTGTGGAAACTGCCATGCTAGAACGCTTCTCCCTGAAATGCTCGTTTTCCATGTTCTCTAACCCCAATTGTTTTGTAACCACATAGTGCCAAGGAAAACACACACTACAGTGGTACCTTGGGTTAAGTACTTAATTCGTTCTGGAGGTCCGTTCTTAACCTGAAACTGTTCTTAACCTGAAGCACCACTTTAGCTAATGGGGCCTCCCGCTGCTGCCGTGTTGTTGCTGCGCGATTTCTGTTCTCATCCTGAAGCAAAGTTCTTAACCTGGTACTATTTCTGGGTCAGCGGAGTCTGTAACCTGAAGCGTATGTAACCTGAAGCGTATGTAACCCGAGGTACCACTGTATTGGGAAGGCTTCTTCAGGCTGAGGTTCTCATTATAATGAATTTTTATTTGTAAAAAAAGTTGAGGTGTATAAAGTCTTTTAAATAGATCATGTTGGTGGAAAGCTGCCTTTCAACAATGGGTGCGAGCAAACCCCAAAGTGGGTGGGGCCAGACCCTTAACACACTCTTAATACACAAACGTAATCACACCACACCACACCCTTAACACACGCTCCTTACATAGGCAGAAACCATCAACACGCATACACACAACTTTCCATGTTCCAGCAAGTGAACCTGACCCTGAAAACAGATCCTGTGATCTCATTTGCTTCCGCCTTACCTAAATTCGCAAGATAAGAGAGTATGCACTGCTCAAATGTTATTTTTAAGGACCAAAAATCATCGCTAGCAGCACCTTTTGTGCAAGGAAACCTGAGCCCCAACAAGAGAAACTGGAGGCGGCACTGAGCCATCATCCAGATTTGGCACTTGCCCATTTGGCGACAAGATATATCCCTGGCAGCAGGCCAAGACTGGGAGCGGCACCTGCAGCCTCACTACCCTGCCCCCTGCCGAATACCGCACGTTATCCAATAGGTATTTATGAGTGTTTTAAGGAGGAGTGACAAGGCCTTTTAATATCCCTGACAGGCTTGGTTGTTTTAATAGATTGGGGAGATGGAGAAGAGGGAAAAGGTGAACTGTCACAGCCGGCTTTCTCTTACAGTTCCCCCAATCGACAATATGACACAATATAAAAGATGGGACACGATCCTTTCTTTTCCTCTTCAGTTTGATGCACTGTCCATCATCTCTCACTGCCACCCCGCGTTACCCACCTCCTCTGGGCCAATGAGGGATCCCCAATGTGTTTCCTGTGCGTGGGTTTTTTTCCCCCAACCACAGCTGAAAATCCTATTACGGAGGGCCAGCGTGTACAGTTGACGAATGGGACATGGGGGATTAATATTTATATCTGTACCTTTCATGTGTTTTACATAATGCAGTGTCAAAAGTGCCCTCAGTGGAACAGTTCGTTTCTGCCTCGTGCCAAAGCTGTCATAGATTCCCCACTCGCTTTTCACTCCCCTTGGTGTCAGAAATGTTGGCAGGTTTTGAAAGTGCTGCCAACCATTACGGAGTGACATAACCGTGCTATGCACCATTGCACAGCATAACTCCGGACATCTAACTCGTGTCGATAGTCTGATGGCACTTATGGAAGAAGGGCAAAATCCACTCGAAAGACCTTCTGCGCAAGCCCCGTTGAAACTGATGGGAGCACTTAAAACAAACAAACACAGGTTTGAGGTATTTGTGCAAGAAAACGTTTGGTTTGCCCTCAAAGGCCACATCTACATCATCATCATTATTGTTATTATTTTATTATTTATACCCCGCCCATTTGGCTGGGTTTCCACAGCCACTCTGGGCGGCTCACAGCATACATCGAAACATTTATGACGTCACTTTAAACAGTCATGGCTTCCCCCAGTGAATTCTGGGAGCTGTGGTTTATGATTGGTTTGAGAGTTGTTCTGCTCCCCTCCCAGAGCTACGATTCCCAGAGCTCTGGGTCTTGTAGTTATGAGATGGGAACAGGGGGACTCCTAACAACTCGCAGCACCCTTTCCCAAACTACAGCTCCCAGGATTCTTTGGGAGAAGTCACGACTGTTTAAAGCGGTATCATAGTACTTTCAGTTTGCATTGTATGAATGTAGCCAGAGTCCCCAAGGCTTAATTATGATAATAAAACTGGTAAGGCCTGTGACAAGGCTGTACCACTTCGTACAACGAATGGAGACTCCCTACTCAAAATTTAAACGAAGCAAAAATCAACAAATAAAGAAAATTAACAAAGCTATCCCCCCCCCATGTTAATAACAATAGTGTACTTATTAGTGGTTCAACACACTTTGGGTACGGTAAGTCTTAGCTTTAACCCTGTAAGGTAGGTCACTACCATTATCTCCCTATTGCTGATGGAGTTCTGAAACCCAGGCTGTTTTTTGACAGGTGGCTGCTAGTACGTACTAGCCAGTCTTTGCTCTGCTGTTGCAAGCTACAAGTGGAATTGCAATCGACTGTCCACACTACTGGGAGAATTAGTGTGGTTTGTGCATAGCTGTCAAGCGTCCCTTTATTTGGCGGGACAGTCCCTTATCCCAGCGCCATGTCCCGCTGCTGTCCCTTATTGATGATGTCCCTTAAATTTCCCGGGTTTCAAAGGAAGCAGCTCCTCTCCCTCCCTCCCTGCCGGCCAGGGAGGCTCCAACTGTGTTGCTTGGCTGCGTTGCTCACCCAATAAGAAGTCTAAGAATGACTGGGGGTGGAGCTTGCATGCCTTTGTGCTGATCAAATCGGCTGCGTTGCCAGGGGACTCACTTTTGCTCAGCACTTCCCAGCGGAGAGGTGATGGTGGTTTTCCTTGAGGCTTTGTTTGGCTGCTGACTGGGCTTTCTGCCTTTGGCTCGGAGGGGCTCAGAAGTTGAACATACCTGTGTTCAGAAAATCCCTTATTTTGGCTGCTGATCCCTTATTTTCGAGGCTGCTGGTCCCTTATTTTCAAATCTGTAAGTTGACAGCTATGGGTTTGTGTGAACCCAGGTTTAAAGTTTTTGGCTGAGAGCTTAATGTAAGCCAGGGCTCACCTAGCCTCAGCTCTCAAATTTGCTAGAGTTGGAATAAACTTGCTTTCCCCTAAAATATCATCAGAATTACCCTCTGTGCAGCACTGGGCACTGGCAACCCACGCTACGCCACTGGATTTGCCTTCCACTGACAACTCGGCATGCTGGACGTTCACAGGTCCTTGTCAGGGCGAGGTGCGCATGTTTAAATAAATATACATACTTCTGAATAGTTAGGGACACCCCACCACCGCCACCAGTGTGGTAAAATGACAGTCTTATTTTTAAGCAGCCTGTTCTGCTTCCAGGCAGGCACTAACCCATCCAGGTTCCTTATTAGAAGCAACAAGTGAGATCTGCAGCTACAGATGCTTTAGGAATTTATTTGGGAATTCTGGAGCAGTTCAGCCAGCTCCACACATCCCAGACTATAATGCAGAGAGGAACTCAAGTTACCTTTCAGATGCTGAAGCTCTCTAGATTTTGTGTTTCAGTTTTAAACTTAAAAGGAAGATGCCAAATGTGTAAAAAAAAAAAGTATTTTAAGATAAAATATGTTTAGAAATTCATATTTTGAATGACAGTGCGTACAGATGCACACATAGTATTTAACTACAAATATTCCTGCAGATTTAAATAATAATAATAATGTGGAAAATGGAAAGGATTTATAAATGAATGCATGTGAAGCTGACAAAGATCAGATATAGAGTCCCTCCAGAAGGGTGGGTGTTTTCGGCAGCATGTAATTGATGCAAAAGCACTGCATTAGTAGTGGTTTTATACTGGACCGTCCACACATCATTCGTCTTTATTAACTGTTTTCTGACAGTTCCCCAAATGTTATTACAATATTGTCATCTGGAGTGGCACCCTTGCAGTGTCGGATGACAACAGTGAGACCCAAAAAAACCCACCTATTTTGGGTATAAAATGTTACAAAATATCAGCAGGAAGCAATGGGACATACACTGATCAGAAACAAATCTTCATGTCCACACCGAAACTTTTGCAGGTGTTCACATTATTGAAAGTGGGATTGCATATAAGCTCCACAATACCGTCAGGAGCACAAATCATCATGAATGTGCAATAAAAAAGGATGTCTGGATGGGCCTGTAGACTGATCTGTATATCCTTCTGGCAGGAGTGTTCCTGTTCAGGGTTCCTGCCATTCAGTTATGTCCTCTCACAGGACAGAGTGCTCAAGCAGGACATCCCAATCTTCTCTCCATTGCCCATATTTCCTTTTTCCAACTGACAGTCAACAATCTGTGCTTATTGAGCGTGCTCAGTCCTCTTTGGGCTGTTGCTCCCTTGGTGCTGTTGTTGTCAGATTCCTTTTGCACTTCTACAAATCTTGAGGTTCCAAACATGAAGTCTTGAGTATCAAGCGGCGACTTGAATGCAAGGATGGGCATCAGAGGGGCCTCTCATATCTCCTTAAGGACCCTGTTTTTCAGGGGAATCAGTTCTCACATTAGGTCACAAGAGAACATTGCCCTTGAAGCTATGTGAAAGCTTGTGAAGCCCTTTCACACATTCAAGTTGCCACTTGAGGACGAAGCCCTCTGTTATGTACTGAAGTTCTCACCCTGGGCCAGCAGGGGGATACTGTAGATAGTTATGCAAATAAGGGATCGAAAGTGACGTTCAGTGATTGGATAGTTTTAGAAAATTGTTACAGTTACGTTGTACTGGAGCTCTATATAAGCAGGCTGACTGAACCCTTCAGTTCAGTTCTGTTC